GCGGGAGAGGGCGGACGAGGGCTCCCCGCGAACGAGGCCAGGTCCACAGGACCAGCACGATCCTTTAAAATCAGAGCAGGACTGGCCAGAGCACTGAGTGAGTTCGGGCAGCTGGGAAAATGTTCCAGAAAACAAGTGAGCGGCCTGGTTAGGCGGGCGGACTCGGGAAAACCCGAGAAGAAACACACCGTAGCCAGATGCGCTAATGGACTCGGAGAACCATCTACACTGAGAAGGCGGTGTCCCCAAATTAGGAGCAAGGCTGGCAGCCGAAGGTGTGCCTTAGCTACCTTTAGAGAAGCACAAGTCTCCTCGCCCAGTGAATTTACATCCCGGGGCCAGAAGGTCTTGAGAACATGACCCTGAACTTGTAACCCCTTCACCTCTGAGAGCATGGACGCCGGAAGTGGCCAGAAAGACCAAATATGAGCCAGTGCCATGCTGGTGTGTGCGGGGAGAGGCGGGGCTCAGAACTGACACCTGCTCCCCGAAGAGTGAATTATGAAGCTGGTCTATGAGGACCCTAGAAAAGGAAGCCTGGATTTAAAATCAGCGTGAATTCACCAAGACCAGAGGATTCACCAAAACTCGCTCCCCTTTCTGACGAGCGTTAGGTGAATAACGAAATATACGTCACGTAATTACAGCAGCCCGATTTCCCGCCGTTCTTAATTTCAGACACACATTTCGTAAAAATCTCTTGAAATCTCTCTGCGGATGAACCAGAAACGTATGCTAAATAATGGACTGGGTGTGTGTTCAGTGGTGTGAAAATTGCATACCTAAAAAGGGGGCCAGGGGTCGGATCAGTCAATGATTGACTCAGTGGTGCCCAGGTAAGGAGGCCGCCATGGAAACCCAGGAGGAGGCCGCTGGTTGGTTCAGAGAGCATATGGGGACGCTGGGGAGTGGTGCCCGCAGGGGGCGTGGAAGCTTCCCGCCTGTCCCCACACCTCACCCTGTGCATCCCCTCCATCTGGCTGGTCCTGAGTCGGAGCCTTTTATAATAAACCTGTAATGCAGGAAGTACAATATTTCTCTGAGTTCTGTGAGCCGCTCTGGCCCACTAATTGAACCTGAGGTTCTAGAGATTTCTGATTTCTAGCTAATGGGTCTGAAGTGTGGGTGACAAGCCGGTCCTCACACTGGTGGCGTCGGAAGGGGGTGTGGGGTGGCGGTCTTGTAGGACCGGACCCCGAAGCTGTGGAATCTGATGCTGTCTCTGGGTCAGAATTAAGCTGAGGGACGGGACACCCAGCTGGTGTCTGGGGAGTTACTAGGTGCTACGTGGGAAGCCACACCCCCCCCGCCCCACGCACACTGAAAACTGAATCTAAGGACACATTTAATCTGGAGAGACATGTTCCCAAAGAGGACCTACAGATAGCCACACACAAACGCCTCAGACTCCACCTTCGTGGCTGTGAGCCATCGACACACCACCTTATCAACCCTACCACAAAAGAGGCGTCACTTGCTATTATTATAAATATAAATCTTGCAAAGACAAATTTTTAAATTCTAACGACGGGCGTATAGCTGGGAGACCTTTTTTTTCCCTTTGTAATGGAAATTAACAAGAGTTAGAGACATATTAAAGGCATCTGAGTAAGAAACAAACTTTTTCCTTGGTGTGTTCAGGATTGAAATAAAATTCCAGAGATCATCCTTTTTCTGCTTCTGAGATTCAAATGCACCACCTAAAATCACCTTGGAAAACACCGGACCTAACGATCTAAACACCTGCTCCACCGTGAACCTCTGGACCCCAGCGGCCCTCCTCAGAGCTAGCGAGCCTCAGTCTCCCCAAGGCTTGTTCACGTGGTTGCGATCGCCCTCATCACCCCAGTTTAGTCTCCACGGACAAGGGCCCATCTGCTGCAGGTGGCCAAGCAGCACCAAAAAGCAAAAAACTTTAATCGAGCTGGAACGTTCTCCGTTAACACAGCCGTGGACCCGTCCGCTGTCCGGCAGCCCGCTGAGCGCGGGCCTCGCTGTCCCTTTCCATGGGGAGACCTGCCATCTGCCGTCCCACCCAGCGGGCAGGCACGTCATTCCTGGCCCGGCCCTGATCAGCGCTTGCTTCAGGACGGACTCCGTGACACTTAGCCAAGGGAGCAGTGAGGGGTGAGCAGAAGGAACGACTTTGTCACCATCAGGGGTGTTCAGCAGCAGACCAGACTGTCCCGCCGCGGTGAGCGTTCCCGCCTGTGAGGCACACGCAGAACCCGCCGCTGGGCTAACTCCGAAGCCACAGTGCGGCCGGCAGTCGACGAGAAGCTCTCCCGTCCCCACACCCTGTGCGTCCGCAACGCAGCACACCAGGCAGGGGCAGAATGAGCAAGGGGGCCACACCACGACGGAGGGACACCGCCAAGGCCACGTCCGCCCTCGGCCGGGGCGGTCCAAAGCCTCTCGTTCCCACAGCTACCCTGCGCAGTCGGACGGACGTCCCCGCTTTGCAAATGACAAAACCGATGCCCAGAGAGGCCGAGTCACTGATCCGGGTCACCCAGTCAGAGGGCGGACGGGAATCCAAGTCAGGCTGGAACTGACACCGAAGTCCGGGCCACCCCACCCTAACCCACAGGTCACAGGAGGGAGCGACAGAAACCAAAGCCGTCAGTGAACGGGCATCGAGAAAGCGAGGGCGAGCGGTTCTGAGAGAAGAAAAAAGACCACGACCTTTTTGACGAGGGGAGTTATTGTTTTCGTTTTCGTAAACGCGTGAGGTCAGTTAATAATTTTTCCAAAAGAGGAATAACAAAAAGAAGAGAAATAAAAGAAACAGAAGAGCAGGCTCCTGGGCAGAGAGGCCACCAAGGCAGGGAGGCCCTTGGCAGCCACCCGCCATGTCCCCCCCAGGGACATAAACCAGCCTCCGATTAAACCAGCCTCTGATTAGAACAGTCTGGAACGAGCCCCACGAGGAGCACAAGGCACCTGCTTCCCAAACCTTTCGCAGAAGTGCACCCCCAGTTTCTTCAGGGGGAGCGCTGGAGAGCTGCACTCCCCACGTCTGGCCGGCGTCCTCGGCCGTCGCCGCTGGACCCGCTGCCAGAATGTTTGCGGTCCACGCTGCCTTTCATTCGCTCGGGGGGTCATCAGAAGTTACCGTGATGGATTCCTCCAGTCCATCAATAATTAACTCACACGTGGGGCTTGTCAAACAGCTTCTGATCCCTACCGCTTTCATCGAACCCCAGACACGCACACAAACACACACACACACACACACACACACACGACCCTCACAAAGGAACCAGCGACAGCGTTCCGCACGGTCACAGCTCAGCACGCCGCTGAAGTGACACGTGTGTCCGGGCTGGGAAGAGGACCGGAGATGCCACCGGCTGCTTCGGAGCCCACGTTTCACGGCGCTGGAGGTGCGTTTGCTCACCGCGCCTGCTTCCGAAGGCCAGATGAAAGGAAGAGCCACGGCGTGCACGCCACGCCGGACCTTTCGGAAATCTTGCGAAACTGCAGCTACCACAAGAGTCCCAGCAGTTCATAAGACACGTGGACACTTTATGTAAAGAGCTGTTATAGATAAGGAAAGGCCCAGCGTGAGATGAGGCTTCTCGGGGCTTATGAATATTTATGATATTATATTTTCGAAAGCCACCGAAAAATTAAGGACGGTATTAATAGGGAACAGATTTACAAGAGTTAGTCATATGTTTACATTATGCAAACTGTATGTAAACACCTGTAACAGAAAATACTGTTAAATGTTGGAAAAAGGCAAGCGTTCGGGGGTTGGGGGGGAGGTGCTGATATTTGGACATTTTCTTAAAGTCGGCCAATGATATTTTTGGAGTGTTTGACAGTCTGTTCGCTGAGGACTTCCTGCGGGCACATCTTGTTCCTAAGCGCTCACTGACCCGGTGGCGGAGTCCCAAATTCGAGGCAAAGGTGAAGGTCTGGGGCCATCGCCAGTCCTTTGTTGGCGGCCACTACGCTTTGCCCTGAACCCTGACCGGCTCCCGCCCTCAGCTCAGCCTCCCCAGCCTCGCGGCCAGCTGCCCACGGCGCCAGGCCGCGAGCTAAGCGCACTGGAGTCCCCGAGTTAGCAACCAGATGGTCGCTTTCCCAGGTCACGGATGTCACCTTGGGCTTCGTGACACCAGTCGAGCAAGCAGGGCCTCCTCTGAGTACAAACTCCAGACTGACACGCGGGGGGAAAGACAAAAGTCTATGAGGGCTGGGGGTGGAGGGGTGACAGAGGACCCCTTCGCAAATTATATTTAAAGACCTATAACCACACCATGTCGCCAGATACCGCGTTGGTTAAGGAGGGCTGACTAATTAAAGGTTGGTTTGTTTCTTTTAAATTTTTATTAGGAAAGCCATACGGGGTCATGGTAAGAAATCTGTAAAGCCAGAAAAGTACAAGAAAAGAGAAATTTTCTAACTAGGATGGAATTTCAGTTGGGACTCCCTTGGGGTCACAGACAGGTGCTTTGCTTAGAGCTCCCAGGTGCCCTGGGTTCGAGGCGGGCTCACGGGCCAGAACCCATCTCTCCTCCCCGCCCTGCCACCTCCCCACTGCCAGCGACCCCAGAGCCCCGCCCCCCATGCATCTGAGCGGGGCCACGCCTCCCCTGAAAACTCACTCCCGGGAGCTGCCAGTCGGTCCCCGGGGGATAACGATGGCGCTTCGTAGGGCCGTGGTGACACATCAACACCAGGGCTCCACCCTGTGCCTGCAACGCACACCTGTCAACAGTGACGACGGCAAGTGCCACCCTCAGAAGCAGCTGTGAATACTGTCGCTGTGCCAAGAGACGTCCAGGATCTTCAGTACAAAAATCCACATGTGTATCGATGAACAGAGTAACGCGCCGTTCGATCTGTAAACGCTGCGAACAAATCGGTTCTGCCCGTTTCTCTAAGTAAAGCCCGAGAGGACGACCGTCGCCTCCTAGGTATTTCCTTCCGTGAGCTGCAAACGATCACATCGGAATCCCTGCTTCTTAAATCCGTGAGTAACTACCAACCTGTCTTTGTGTCCTGGGGGTTAACCAGCACCAGCGTTTGATGTCGAGGTTCGTCACGGTGCATGGAACAAAAGCGAACGGACGACGCGTCGAGTTGAACCTGAAAAAAATAATAAAACCTCCAGTTCGTTCCTGCGTCAGAGTAAGGACAGGAGACATCGCTTAACAATTAGCGCAGTGTTTACTGAACGAACATTGCTACCCAGACGCCAACCTGACAGGGTGTAGGCACCACAAAAATGGAAGAGTTGTCCAGCCGGGCTAAGCACGAAGGGCAGGTGAGCGAAGGCTCCTGGCTGCCTCCCACTCGGTGAACCTTCTCCTGCTCTCGTCCACCTGCCCGCGCTCTTCCTGCTTCGGCACGCTCCCCACCCTCACCCCCTGCGAAAGCTGAAGGCCACACACCTGCCGAAAGGGCCTCACCTGTCCTCCGTGGCCACGCTATGGACGCAAGTTGGGCAAGTCTGTGTCTGCCCACAATGGCACTCAGGCTGACTGATGCCTCGGCTCGGGTCCCTACGAGCAGCCTCGAGAAATCCGTGCCCCCTCTGGGCCCGACAGGCTCAGCCCCGGCTCCGTAGCAAAACTGGGGGGGAGGATGGCAGCCCCGAGCACCTGTTTGCTCACGACCGAGAGGCTCACCGGGCAGCGCGCCGGGGCCTCGAATGCTGGGACCGTCCCAGAGTGCTTCTCTCTGTGCCCACGCCCCAGGCCCTCCTGGTGGCCATCCGACCCACCGCTCCCAGCTCCCAGGGCAAAGGGGCACCGTGCTCCGTTGCAAAGTGTGTTCTGAAGACCAAGGAGGGGAGAGGAAAATGAGCAGGGCAGGCAGCTGCTTGTAAACGTCTGCAGGAGGCCTCCACAGTTTCAGAGAACGACTTCTTAGCAAACCCTGAGACCCGTAAACACCTCCACGCCTCCCCGTCTTTGGGCCACCTTACTGAAGAGCCCCAGGCTGGCCATTACAAGGCCATCACCAACGAGAGGTTCAAAGCATTGGATCGACATGGAAAGAGGGTTGTTATACACAATGTCGTAGTCACGGTGTGATCTGAACGCTTACAAAGCTTTTACGCAGAAACAGAAATCGAATGGAAACCCATCAAAATGTTTATGACGGTTAACTCCGGGTGAATTTATTTTCTCTGTCCTTGGCTGTAGTTCCCAAATATTATACAATCTGCATATGCTATTTTATAACCAGAAAAAAAATCAATAAGTATGATTGTATCTTAACTGTGACAGGATAATTTCAAGACTAGAAACAAGAGTAAATTATGAAAAGAAAGGACTTTCAGAAGACCAGAATGACGTGGTGTGACGTACCCTCAAACAACGTCCTCTCTTTCTCGTTTGGAAAAACGTTTCCATATTCAAAAAGAAAAGTTAAGTTTGATAAAGGAATGATTTAGGCCGGTGGGACTATAAGTAAAATTGTGCGTCCAAGACCATCCCACATTCGACTATGTCAACCTGCTAAATGGGAGGGAATTGCTACCGTTTCTGAATCAGCCGCTAACATGATAGGAAACCGAATGGCTGTTTTCATAAAATTTTTTCTTGGGAAAGGAGAAGCCAATAGGTATAAAGGCATTTCAGCATTTCCATCACGTTAAAACAGCTGAATCTTCGAAACTGTCTTATTTTATCATGTTTTTGCTAATAACGCTCACATTATTCGCTCAGTGACAATACAACGTATTAGGTTTTCCTTAAGTGATGTAATCCATAAATAAGCGTGAAATAAAAGCAGATGATTGAAAACGCATCCTGAAGTAGTTTGGGGCTGACTCTTGGGCTTCGGCACAGTTCTCAGGTTACCTGGCGTATCCCACACTCCAAACCCCGCAGCCCACCAGCTAAGACTGAGCCCCCAGCCTTCCCCAAGAGCAGGCTTTTTTTCTGGTTTATTTACATGCCACTAGGGGGCGCTAACAGCGTGTACGTGCAGGGACCTCCTTCGGCAAACCAAGGATGAGCCACTTCTGGGACCTGGGTGCTTCCAGGAGTCGGTTACAAACGAGCATCTCCGAAATTTCAAGGAAGCCACGCTATATAAACCGCACTACTGTTTTAATGAACTCTGGACCATCTTCAGCACAGTGAACTCGAACCCTGTCTTCCTCAACCTACTTCGCCTGCCGATAGCAACGATTTCCGGTATTTTTTGGTATGAGTGAGATCTTCTATGTACAAAACAAGAAAATTTTGTTTCTTTCAACGGATCAGCCCCACATCCGAAAGAAAGGTAACTGACTTCTGTTACTCGAGACTGATAAACTCCTTTTACTTAATACGGTGGTGGTCAGAGGGAGAGGGAGTCTTAAATGTAACACAATTTTAAAATTTCACCCACGATCCCACAGGCCCAACAAGTAAATGGTTCTCATTTCTCTCCGTTCTCTTCCGGTTCATATTCGAAAGGCAAACTTATCGGTGCTAACAAGTGTGATGGATATCACTTCATTCCAATCGACATTACGTCATCACAAATCACAAAATTTTAGAGCTGAGCCAAACCTTAGCGACCGAAGACCCACCAAGCCTGTCGTGTTACCGACGGGGACCCTGAGGCCCAGCCAGGCATCACACACAGTCATCTCATTTAATCCTCATAACCGCAGTGTGAGGCGAGCTTTGTTACCGTCCCAGTTTGAGAGATGAGAATACCAAGCCCAGAGAGGTAAAGACACCCATTCAAGGTCACACAGCTAGGAAGTGGCAGCCGTGAGATTCACAGCAGACTGTCTGGCTCAAGGACAAGATCCTAATCCGGGACTCTTTCTGCTTCTCAGGGTGAAATTATTATGGTTTTCACTCCAGAAAGGATTTTTTTTTTTAAATCTAAAATACTCTTTCATTAGCATCCCGCTTTCTAATGAGGCAGATTTTGCGCAGCTCTCTGCCAACAAGGAAGGTCGTCGTACCTGCTCCCCCGTGGGCAGAGAGAACACCTCCGTCGAGGGCCGTGCGCCTTGCCCGAGCGCGGCGTAGTAAGCCAGGGCCTCTTCCTGGTGTCCCTCAGGGTCGTCCTCCAAAATATCCACCGGGTAAGTGCCTGCTGGGCGGAAAGGAAGGCCAGAAATGACGTCGGTTTGGCTCTTTCGTTAACGAGAAAGTCACTTATTCCTTGACTATTAAAAAGACACCCAAAAGAGCTTTGAAAATGATGTTCACCTGTTTTGTTTTTTTTTAATGAAAAAGAAAAAAATAAAAGCAGTGAAGCTGCAGGAACCAAAAGAAAATAAAAGCCACTCGTGTTGGTGACAGGCTTGGCGCCAGCCCCAAGGAGATACGAGGTTCAGCTGAACCCTCTGGGGCCGCTCCGGAGCCTTCCTGTCACACACCTGGGACGTCGGGTGGCTTCCCAGCGCCTCTCCACGAGCTCGGCCACAGCGGCCACGTGTACAAGCATCTTGGGAGCCGAGACCGGCTGGTTAAGCCTGGGTGACTCTGACGAAATCCGACTTGAGTCCTAATTTTGCCAGCTCATATTCACGTACATGTAGGTTGCTAAGATTTGCCAAGTCTTCTGTACTCGGTCTGCTTTTTGGAAGAGAGTTTAAATGTACAGGTGAGCGTGGCCTCGAAACTCCATGTCTACACCTGGAGCATCTCCTCCTTATCGCTACGCTCTGTGAGAAAAACGATACCCTTAAATAATTATACGAATCGATAGCATCCAACTCAGCGTGGAGGTCGGTTTCCCCCCTCTGGCTGGAACAGCCCCATCCATGAGCCCCACCCCTTATGTCCCCCTGGGCCTCCCATGGGTGCGCACTGGGGTTGCTGTCTCCTCTTCAAGAAAGAGAAGCCAGCGCGTCAGCACCCGCTGAGACGTCAGCTTCCTACTTTCTCTGAGCAGCTCCTTCCTCCTCCTCCCAGCCACTGCTCAGCAAACGGACTGCGGTTTGCAGCAAACGGTTTCAAGCCTCAGCCTCCGCCTTTGCAGAAGCTCACGCCCCTGCCCAGGCCCCACGGAGAAAACGTCACGGGTGTACAGAGTGGCACACGGCGCGGTAAATACCTTCTCCCACTCTTGGATTTTTAGAAGTATTTGCGTGTAAAACTCAGACCCCAAAATTAGAACTTGTAAATGCACTGAGACGAACGTTTCAAATAAAGACACGAAGAAGCCACAGCCCATCAGCGATGATGAGTAAGTCCATGAGGGACTTCGGGACCTCTCGCTCAAAAAGGTTGTGCTTCTTTCTGTATGGCCAAGATACTCTGCTGCGGAAGGCGCACACTTGGGGGTGTGTGTGTGTGTGTGTGTGTGTGTGTGTGGTTTCTCTCTACACGCACATCGAAAGAATTTCAGGCTCCTTCTCACTCTAAGGAGCCACGAAGCCCCCAGCAACTGATGAGATGCGGCCCACAGGCCGAACCCACGGGCCTTCCCGACTCCTCGCTGGACCCCGAGGCTGAGCGCTCAGGACCCAGATGGTCCAGGCCAAGGGCTGCTTCCGCGGGGCTCACAGCGAACCCAGCCTGCACCCTCTCTCCAGCCCTCCTGACGCTGTCGGGCCCTGGCCTCTGCCCTCTGTCCCGTCCATCCGCCGATGAAAAGAACAACTGCCCGCTGAGCCGAGCTTCGGGTGGGGGAACCGAGGTCTGGAGACGAGAGCGTTTGGCCAGCGGCACGCCCGGGGCGCGAGGGCCACCTGATGTCGAAACCCCACGCGACACTCAGCTGTTGACGGCCCCATCCAAACGGTCTCGTCCACCAAGCCCCGAGGCCCTTCCCGGTTCCGTGCCCGCTCCGTGCAGGGCCCCTCGGCCCCCAGCTCCTCCCCCTCACCAGCTTCGAGGGCCAACCCCAAACGCAGCACACCGGGGAGCCTTCCGAGAGCCCCAAAAGGCACGGGACCCTGAGTCTGAACCCAGGATGGGACTCACTGCACCCCACGCCACCCCCATCCTGCAGGGCCTCACACACCTGAACGCGGCCCCTTGCAGCGATGGCCGCTGGCCCCGTGCCCCGCGCCGACCGGCCCCCGCCCCTCCTGTCCTGAGCACTGGGGACACCGGGGCGGGCCTGCAGCCCAGCTCTCTGTTCAGACTGCTCTCCGTTCCCCGACCTGGGCAAGCGGCTCCCTCGGGTATCGAACGGCTTCGTGTGCGTTCACGTGCATGACGGGGCACCCACAGTCCTGCGTGCTCGTTCCGCCAAACCAACTCCCCGCAACTCGAGGGGCCAGGAGAGACCCCCGACTTGCACTCTTGGGTGCTGGCCCTGTGTTCGTCAAGTCCCGCCCCACAGAGAAGTTGAACTTGGCCCCTCGACAGCCCTCGCGGAGGGAGCCTGGGACGACACGGCGGTCGTCCTGGTCTTCCCAGAGAGGCACAGGGTGGGGGTACCTCGTTCAGGACCACCGACACCGGAGGCCGTCTGCTCCCGGGGAACCCAGGGAGCCCCCTGTCGGATGTCGCCATGGCCCGCATGGCTGGGAGAAACACGGTGAATGCGTGTCGCCCCCCTGCACACACATTGCTTCTCCTGCCGGGACGTGCTGGGCCGTGAGGCCCCCACGAAGAACTCGGCGCGCCCGGGTCCCCCAGGCTCCACTGTCTGCCCGGCCAGCCCGGAGCGGGCCCCTGGGGGTCTGCTCAGCGGGATCCAGGCAGATCCATCCTGACAGTGGAGGCCGCGTGGGGCAGCTCCCCGGGGACGTCACCCAGTCCTCCAGGAGAAGGAACATCGGCGCTCACACCACAGCGTGCGCCCACGCTCAGTTCGCCTCTAAAACCCTGAAGGAGCACCCCGCCCATGGCCTGCTGCACCCCAAGCTGGCCTGGGGACACCAGCCTTTGGTTTCAAGTCGTTCCCTTCCTTCTGGGGAACGTCCCCCATCGGAAAAGCTCGGCAGCTTCCTCTTCCACAGAAAACGTGTAGATTAACATTTGGGTCTGGAAAACTGGGCCGGTGTGAAAAAAGGAGCAGCTTAAGGCAGGAGAGGGCAGAGGGCAGAGGGCAGAGGGCATCCAACGCCAGCTGGGAAGACAGCTCCTGAACCAGGAGGAAGGGGGAACCCCCCTCCCCAACCCAGGAGGAAGCCACACACACACACACACACACACACACACACACACACACCTGCCTCCATCCCAGGGAGGACAGACACCCCCGCCCTCCCCCCCAAACCACAAGGGCACACGTGGGCAGTGCAGAGGGCCCCGAGGAAGTAAACAAGTCTGGGGTGTCTTACGCACGCACTGGGGGCCGAGCCAGGCCGTCGCACTCGTTTCGCTGGCGACGGAAGGCAGACCCGGGCAGGGGTGTCCAGATGTGACACGCTAACGGGCTGTAATGGCTTCAGCTGAACAGGAAATATTTTTCCAAAGCCAAAAGAATGTAATCTTTTCAGTATGATGTAACATGCTTTCATGAAAAAAGGCCCGCAGTTGAAATGAGAACCCATTGCGGACTGTAAAGAAATGGAAATCCCCAAATGAACCCCAAATTCAAGAATTCGCTTTAAGCATGCGTTCGCTGTAGTCATCCGAAAAACAAAAGCAATGGGGCATCTTACAGCATTCTTCTAGGGAGAAGACTTAAATTGTTCAGTGTGTTTTAACAAAGTCTGAGTTCCCAGGTTTCATAAATGGAAGGTCACACTCTTCTGAGCCACACTGCTTGTCACCCACTGCCTATCAGCCAGCCACTGCTGGTCAACCACTGCTTGTCGGTCACATAAGGCCTAACGCTCGAGGGCGCTCCCAGACCTTTTTGGTCCTCCCTATGTAAACAGCAACGCCAATTAATGAAGACCTTCGAAGGGGCCAATGCTTGGCACTTCATCACTGATTCAGTATCATTTGCACGATAGTCTCTCCAAATACCACCTCGCCACATAGATCAGGAAGATTCTTTCATTTTAGCGAAGTGTAATTTTTCTCACATGGGACTATAATTACGAGAAACATTAATAAAGGCATTTTCAGTTTTACTCGACCCACTCTTAGGAATTTCGACTTTACCAAAAGCCTCTGCCCACGGGTAACTCACGACATGGCGTTACGTCACTGGAAAAGCTTGGCTATAGTCGTTGATTTCTTGTAGCTCTGCGGCCCGTCATTCCAGAATGACAAAACGAACGACTCTCGCTTATGATGATACGTGAAAAAAAAGGTAAAGAGGGAAAATTACAAAAGAACATTCTACTTTTGTTTTTTAAAATGGTTCAGAGTAGATATCGCTTGCAAGGAAGTTTTTTTTTTTTTGCTTTGCTTTGCTTTTCGTTCACGTTCAGTGGCCTGGTTTTTTTTCCTTCACAAATTAACTTCCTTCCACAAGGAAACCATTGGGAGAAGGGACTCCGAATACCGGAGTGACTCACTCTGAGCTTAGCAGAGAGCTCGGACACCGGTTTCCAACCAGGGAGAGGTGACACCGGAGGCGACAGGGTGCCTGAAGCAGGAAGTCGCCGTGGCGGTGGGAACCCGGCTGGGGCGGTAGGGGGTGGGGCGCCTCCAAGGAGAAGAGTCCCACGTGCCACCTCTGGTGCTCAGAGTTCACCAGGGTCCCCGGCGTCTGGTGAGGCGTGCGTGTCACTGCTCAGCCCGGTCCCCAAGCTGTGTGTCTGCATGCCACGTACCGTACGAAAACTCAGTATTCACAGACGCACACTTCATCCGGGGCCTCCGACCACAGGGCGCCTTAGAACTGAGAACTACCTTTAACTTAAAATATAATTAGGTTTATTTACTTTTTTTATTTAAGAGGGCTGTTGTATACAATGAGAAATACCCACCGACGCATAAGGCAGTGCCTGGCATGTATTTAAAGTCACAGAATCCAAAGTTTGTGCACCTACCTATCTCTACGGCTTCTGTTGTATTGTGCCAGCATGTTTGCAAAAAAATAACCTGCAGAACACTAGCTCCACGGGACGTGGTGTGGGTGGGGCTTTCAGAAGCTGGCATGTTTCAAAGAGGGGACCCGCTGAGGCCCTGGGAGCTCGCCGCGGGGAGTCTCACGTGCCTGTCAGCAATCAGATTTAGAAATTCTGCAGCGACGGCATTTGCTTAAGCCAGCGTTTATGTCCTAAACTCGTTTCACTAGGGACCCCCTCGCTCCGAAGCACTGACTGACACATGACCAAACGCGCCTTACGGAAGGGTGCCTCGCAGTAACGTCAGGGCAGGAGGGCCGGTCACTGCCAGGCGGACAGCAAACAGGCAAATGTCAGCGGCTCCCGGACCCCTGGGGGAGGGGACGCTGGTGTCATCGGAGCAGATCCCCCACAGACGGGAGCAGAGAACAGAAGGTGAGGCAAATACACGCCTGGCTATTTTCGTTGGTTTTTGAAGAGCATCTGATTGCCAGAATATTCTTAGCGAAGAATTGAAAAAAAAACAAAAAAAAAAAACAAAAAAAAAAAGTTGGAAGCCAGAACGCGGAGCGCGTCGGAACGTTCTGAGCAGATGAGCGAAGCTGTCAGGCGGTGAAGGCATCGCGGAGAGAGGTCTGCAGGTGGTGGCGGGGACCGTTTCGTACCCGGCAAGTGACAGGGAGCCCGTTGCTCCGTTGTCACATATTTAGTATTGGCCAATTTGCAACTTGTCATTGCCTTGGCTGAGAATAAAGCGCTCGTCCCCGAATCTAAGATGGTAAAATATGCAGATGACTTTCCCAGCCACCCACACAGAGGTTTATGCAATCCTAATTGCTTTTAATACGAAGGTCTCATAATCTGAGCTGCGAGGCGAGTCTTACTTTTTAGGCAAATGATACCGACATAAAACTGTTTTTTCCCCTTGAATCATTCGAAAGGAGAGAGGTGGGGCTGAAAGCTACTGTTCCTTTCGCATTCCAAGAGCTGTCACGCTTGGGGACAGATGTGGACAGACAGGAGGAAACGGCATCTCTGACATCTGCTTCCTTACTCGGATGGCAACAGAGAGGGGTCCTCGCCTGACACAGCTGCAGGAAACTGGGCCACGGTCGCCGTTGAGCGTGAGCCGCTCCACGCCACGCATCGGCCCAGCGGTGCCGGATGCTGCGACCTTCCCCAGGGAAGGGGAGGGCTCAGGAGGACGCGACAGCCTGGCTCTTTGTATCGTGAAGGTAAAAGCACTCGCCTTGGTGTCAGCGACATCAGCCTGACAGGTGGTGGCCCTCACGCTGGTGGGAAAGGGCTCAGGGCACACCCACTGTCCAGCATAACTGGCGCCCGAAACCACACAGCATGGAACACGGGGGGACAACACCCATCACCCTAATGCTTGCGCCCATTAGTCACAGAATAACATTTCCCAGACTGTGGTCGCTCACGGACTTCCTAAACTTTCACCGGGAAGAGTCACGCCCCGGCATGAGACCCGTCTGTCACACCCCAAACGACGACACCTCAGAAGAGGAGGGAAAACGAGCTTCTCTCCGGCCTGCCCGGCCGTGTGCCAAGTGACGAGGCGGCTGAAGGCAGACCGGTCCCCAGACCGACAGATGAGAACGGGCCTGCCTTAAACCTACATGCTTATTTAGGGACGACGTGGCGCCTCCCAGTACCTGGGAACGTGTGGAGGCGGTTACGTTTTTATAAGGGCAAAACGTAGAAAACGGAAAATGGAAAAGTAGATGGAGAAGTTCATGCCAAATGTGAACGTTTGCATCAAGGTTAACACCTGCTCAGTCTTACATTAAAGAAATATATAATGGAAAAAAAAACCAAACAAACCAGATACAGACCTATAGATACAAAGAATGAGCTGACGGTTGCCAGAGTGGAGGTGGGTAGGAGTATGGGAATTAAATTAAATTAAATTAAATTAAATTACAAACAAGGGGATATTTACATAAAATGTGTCACCCACAAGAAGAAAATTCACAGGCAGGGGGGCAAAAAGAAATATAAAAGAAAGTTAATATTCCGTCGTCTGTGGATAAACAAAGCTTCTAAGGTATTAGTTGGGAGAAAATGCATTAGAGAAATAGCGGTATGTTTTCCCACTGAAACGCACTGTTGAACACCTTACATCTGCATAGCGTTCTCCAGTTTACGAAAGGCTTCCACGAATCCTCGCTCGTTGGAGACCTACATCGCCCCTCTGAAGTCAAGAAAGCACAAAGCGTGAACATCCTTTTTCGGATGTGGGAAGTTGGCAATGGGGCCGGAACTCAAACCCAGATCGTGAAATTTCCAGCAGGGCCTTCGTCAGCGATGGCAGCTTGGGCCAGATGTCAGCAGTGGACACGCAGGCAGGGCAAAGGGCCGGGCTGACCTCCTGCTTTAACCCCTCCCCTCCGCTTAGGTCACCCTCATGCAACGAGTGACTTTCAAATGGTGACAGCTTTGTGAACTATATGACTGGAAGCAGCATGAAGTGGTAACATCCTGGCTCTCTCCAAAGGAGTAAACTGATGAACCTGCCAACAGAAGAATGAGATGTACCTTATTCTAAAATGCTAAGGATCCCCCTTAAGGTATCACAAATGAACCAGTTTGAAAAGACAGATGAAACACCCACAAAATGACACCGCCTCGTCGCCCGTCTCCAACATTGGGCCACACAGACAGGGAGGTCTGGGCATGAGGGCAAAGGGCACCAGCTCTGGGGTCATTCAGACCTGATTCCAAAAACACCTCTGAAATATCTGAGAAAATAAACTGCCACGAAAGGGTCAATGCAAAC